TATATATATATATAATCTAAAAGTAATAAACATTCAATCTAGTGGTGAGTTTTGAAAAATAATTATTTAATCAAACTATTAAATTATAACTTTATATTACATTATATATTTATGTCAAATTTTATTAAAATTGAACAATAATTTAAAAGTAATTAAATTACTAATATTTTTAATATATTCTAAAATATATTTATATTACTTAAATTTTGATTTATATTAATAAGGTATCAAATCATTTTAAATTAATATAAAATTTTGTATATAAGATCTAGGAGTAAGAAAATTTTAATCTAACACTAAATTTTGAAAAAAAATCATTTAATTAAAAATTATTAAATAGTGTAATAGTTATAAAAATTACATCGGTCATTTATACACGATGATTTTTATTTTTTTTTAAGATATACACAATGCAATGTAAAATTTACACTATTATGATTCTTACGTAAATAACGTTTCAATTCCTATACAGAAAACTTGCTGTAAATCCTATACAGCAATCAATTTTTATGTAGATTGTATTATTAATTATCTGAATTTATATTGGTGTCAAAATCACGGCATCAATTATAAATGTTGAATCAACTTATGTACTTATCGTAAAGTCCCGAAGTCGTTAAATCAAAGAAGAACTTATGGTCGTGCATGTATATGGCTGATTTAGCAAAATTGGGACCATTTGTTGGAAATTTAATTCCTTTCATGGGTCCTATGTGTCTGTAAACTTGCTGTTTGAAAATACAAGATATATAGATGATGATGAAGATGATGCATGACAAAACAATAACGGAAAAATAACAGTAGTAAAGTTGAATGTACTTTTTACTTGTTAAATATGTAGATGAAGCTTCATTGCCATATTGACACTATCAATTGATGTACACATTGGATGGCTACTGATTTCATCCCCATATGTATGAAAATTATAAAATAAAGCAATCATCAATAGAAAAATTGTACATGTCCTTTTCACTGTTTCATGTGAAATCCAATTCCCAAAATTAAAAATTAGAAAAAATCACACACAACTGCCCTAGCCTCTCTTGCAACTTGTAGTAGTGCCACTGCAGTTTCCATCAGAGTCAATAAATATTGTTGCTTGGACAGATGAATGTAATTTCCTGAACCATTAATATTTCTCTGCCCCTCTCTCTTATATAGCCAATGCCAAACCTTATATTTGCTATGAATCGACTTGAACCATTCGTCAAAAACTAAAAAACTTAAAAAATATCACCTTATATTACAACCAAAATGTTAAAATAAAAAAAAAATGGTCTCAGACCACAATTTCAGTGGTAACATCATTTTTTTTAGGGTTTTCATGACTATAATCGCAGCAACATTAGTCTCACTTGTCTTAAAAGATAACTATTTTTAGTATAATTACATGTATTTTGTTGTGGTATAAACAAGTCTCACATTGATTAAATAAGACAAAAAATAACAATTTATATAGCACAAACATACTTTAATGATAGAGAAATCTTTTAGGTGATAACCAAAAGCAAAACCGTGAGAACTTAGACTTAAAGTGGATAATATTTCATTATTGTGGAGTATGTTTGTGTAATAACCTTATAAAAATAATTCTCTAAAATATCTCTTTAGACAAATATCATAAAATAACCTCCAACATATTTTTTTATCTAAGATAATTATGTTCAAATTACAAAGTTTTTTTATCCAAGTTTTTAATACAGCTGCATACCCATAATTTAAAACCTTGATTACAGCACTAGCTTACTCACCATATATATTATCATACATGACATTAACAAATGGAGTGATGGTGAAATTGGCATGTAGTAGAGGAAATTAAGAAAATGGGTTGCACTTGCACAAAGCATAAACATGTAAACATACAAAGGATGTTTGGCATTGTTTGAAGAGATTTGAATTATTTTATTAAGCAATAGGATATATGATATGTGTATAATAAGGGGATGTAGTGCAGGCCATTTGGAAGGAAGTTGGCAGAAGGTATAGTGAGAGGAGGCAGTGGCAATGTGGCAAGTAGATGAAGATATATATGGTGGGGAAAAGGACAAAAAAGACCAGCTCTGGTGGGGTCATAATAACAAGATGCATCAACAGGCTTAGCTTGGCTTTTCAATCTCATCACATAGGTATACTCACAAATGCATGAGATAGGGGCTGGGTTGAAACTGATGCAATATTAAGGGATAATGGTTGATGCGAAAGAGCTTCGTCCTAATGCACGATACCTGTTGGTGGGTTAGGTGGCAAACCCTGCCCCTCTTCATTGGACCCATCCCCTAGATTCCTGCCACTTCTCTCTTTCACTTTCTCTTCTTACCCCTCAACTATATATCGATCCATTTCTTTTTATTCACAGTTATACCCAACTATTTTCTCCTTTCCCTTAAGTAACCTCCTTCTTCATAAAATTATATCCACATAAAAATGTTTGTAACCACACCGCCTACATTTTTTTAAAAAAATTTATAGATAGTGAAATTCAACTTTCACATTCTTTAGATGACATCAAACATAGTTTGTATCTATTAAAAAGAGATAGCTATCATTTATGGAAACACCAAATTCAATAATGTTAAACTAGGGAAATATATCGAAAAAATATTAAGTTTATGATATCTATTAAAAAGGTTTGATGGTGATAGTAGTTTTATATTAAAATCTAATTTTAATCCATCATAAATTATAAATTTGTTGATGACTTTTATGATAATTATTTTAAAAGATATAAATTATAATTTTTTATTGATTGGCTGTATAAAATATTTTATACTAAAGATAGATAAATATTAAATTCTTATCGAAGATTGTCACTTTTATTTATCTACTATCAAGTTCAATAATATTAAATATTATGAAAAATATATTAAAAATAATTCAAATATCACATCAACTAGAAATAATGTCAAGATTGAATGTAAAAGTTAAAGACAATAAAAATGAAATGGAATATAATTTTATGATATCAATCTATTAGAAATCGCATAGATATAATTTTTAGAGTTTAATAATTGTATATCATCGACAAAAAAATTAATAAAAAGATATTATCTATATGACTTGTGAAATAATTATTATAAAAATCAATAAATTTTTCATAAAAGATACAAGTAGTAATTGAATGATGATGTATGATTGTTTTACATTCTTATTACATAACCTTTTTTATAATCTAACATTTAAGGTTAGCTACTCTGAAACAATTAACAACTACCCCATCTACTGCACTATGTTTATGCTTTTATTATTGGAAGATCATGAGGGGCATTTCAGTTTTTAAAACTCTAAATTCACCCACCTCAAATTAAAGAACCGTATAATATATGAATCTCCATTTCGTGGCTTTTTCAAAGGAATCATGGACACGAAAAGCGTCTAGCTACCATTCCAATTCCTATAACTATATTTAAAGACAACCTTTCTTTGAAAAGAAAAACCCCACTGCCTGTCTCCTCAGTGAGAAACTAATTTATCATTAGAAAAATAATGGCAAACAGTGATCTTAACATGCACACAATCCAATGAAATATTAGACAGGTTGATGCAGAGAAGCTAGCTTTCTTTTTCTACTTTCCAAAAATAATCCTTCTTTCTTTATTCTTTTTCCAAACGCTAAACGTCATTTTGACATCAAATAACCTCCACACATATATTTTTAAGTTTTGAAAGCCTAATTAATTGTTTTTCCCTTTCATGTACATATAATAGATAAAACCAATAGGACTTTTCTTTTTTTATTTAACAGCAGCAACTTAAATACAATATAAGTAAAAAAAAATAAAATCCAGGGATATATATTGAAGATGATATATAGATTCAAACATCTCACCCCTTGTCCCTCTCTTTCTCCCTTCTTTCTCCTCTCAACTTCCTTTTCCTTTTGAAATTATCGCATAAGAGAACAAAAGGCTCTCCCTTAAACTGGTAAGGTATATAAGCCACCCTTCAGAGCAATTTGTCCATCTTCTTCAATTTCTTAGCAGAATATGTGGTGCATTAGACCATAGTCTTTGTCATCGTTGCTTCCACAACAACTTGGTCCAACCTTTCCAAATATTCACATAAGAGAACAAAATCGCCCTACCTAGAAACTGATATGCTATATAAGCCATCCTTTGGAGCAATTAATATGTCCACTCTCTTCAATTTAGCAGAAGGTGTTGTGTATTAGACCATAGTCTTTGTCATTGTTGTTTTACCACAACACAGTTTAACCTTTGAGAATCAGCAATCTTCTCTTGTTATATATCACACATGGTGATCAGAACATCATTAAGCTATTGAAGATCAGTGGCAGGGATAAACTAGCAATGATATGGCCTTCTTCCCAGCAAATTTCATGCTACAAACACCTCACCAAGATGACCATCAACCTCCACCTTCACTCAACTCAATTATAACTTCATGTGCACCTCAAGAGTACCATGGTAATCTCTTTAGACACAAGCACAAAACACCAACCTAGTGCAATATTATATTATGGGGCTAATAAAAATGTTGATGCAGGAGGAGCATCCTTTCTTGGCAAGAGATCTATGTCATTTTCAGGGATTGAACTTGGAGAAGAAGCCAATGCTGAGGAAGATTTATCTGATGATGGATCACAGGCAGGAGAGAAGAAAAGGAGGCTTAACATGGAACAAGTGAAGACACTTGAGAAGAGCTTTGAGTTGGGAAACAAGCTTGAACCTGAGAGGAAAATGCAGCTGGCAAGGGCTCTTGGATTGCAGCCTAGACAGATTGCTATATGGTTCCAGAACAGAAGGGCTAGGTGGAAGACCAAGCAGTTGGAGAAGGACTATGATCTTCTCAAAAGACAATATGAAACTATCAAGGCAGATAATGATGCACTTCAAGCTCAGAACCAAAAACTGCAGACTGAGGTTTGTAATTTTCTTCCTACTTGTTATAGTTTTTACTATTTCAATTGTGGTTTCATTCTTTTTAAAGCTTCTTATTATGTGAGAAGAGAACTCAGAAGAAAAGATAAAATTCTCAAACAAATATTTATGGAAAAAGAAAATTAAATTAATGAAAAAGGTAAAAGAAATCAAACTTCCTTTTCATAAATTAAGATTAAACTATGCACCTCATTATTTGAGATGCATGAATTAACTTTTTAACTTATCGGAGAAGATCGATGCATTTTACCTCCTTACCTCATTTTATTTGTTTCTCCGGGTTTCTCTGAGGAAAAATTTATTCAAACTAGTTCTAATTGATGAAGAAGTAGAGCGATGTTCAAGTTCTGACTGCTATGTCAGATTATTTTGATTCTGTACAATGAAGCTAAGTAATCATGATGTTTTTCTTTAATTATTATGCTTTTTATAAAAATAATATATCATGACTTTCAGAACCTTTTATTTCCCTTCACCAACTTCTGGAACTACTATGACAACTTTCTACAAAGCTGCTTTTTCCAATCATCTACAGTAACTTCATAAAGACCAGTTTCCACTCAATTACATATTGATCATGCATAGTTTCCTTGGTTTGGAAATAAACAATCATTTGGTTCATTTTGATATTGACACGTTTGTTTTAGTCTTCTTACACACACTTCATACTTCATGCCTAATTTCCTGCATGTTGTAACATTAATGCTATCTTGGATTAGTTAATTTCACTGCTGCCACTCACTGGTGCAGATATTGGCACTGAAAAGCAGAGAACCAACTGAATCCATCAACCTCAATAAAGAAACTGAGGGATCCAGCAGCAATAGAAGTGAGAACAGCTCAGAAATCAAGTTGGATATCTCAAGAACACCAGCTATTGATAGTCCTCTATCCACTCAGCAGAACAGCAGAACTCTCTTTCCACCTTCTGCTAGACCAACAGGAGTGGCTCAGCTTTTCCAAACTACTCCAAGGCCAGAAATTCAGTGCCAAAAGATTGATCACATGGTCAAAGAAGAGAGCCTAAGCAACATGTTTTGTGGCATTGATGATCAATCTGGCCTATGGCCTTGGTTGGAGCAGCAGCATTTCAATTGAAAGAGTGAGAGAGGGAGTTTCAGATTATTGCAATGTAGTTTTCCCTTTTCCGGATGAAAATGAAATCATCTAGAGCCTAGAGGGTGTCTTTGTCAATTGATCACCATACTTAATGAGTTATTATATTAAAACCCATGTTTTGGTAAACTTGATGTATAAAATAGGATATGTCAAGTAGAATTTTTCTGTTGGGGGCTTGATAATTTTTATATAAAAGAATAAAGGGTGGGGTTAGTCACCTTTTTCTTTTCAGTTAATTAATATGACTAGTTTTCTTGAAACTTTTAAGTAATGGGTCATGAAATTTTTTTTCCAATTAACTGTGAGACCGTGCTTGTTGGTGTCTGATTGCAGAGGGGCCACTAAAATAAAGGAAGATTCTCTGCTTACATTTTTACCAATTTTTTTAGTCCAATTAGCTTTGCTTGCTTTTGAATCAAACCTCTGTACTTTTAAGCAATACTTTTTTTTTCAAGTACTATGCATATTATTTTGTTTTCTCATATGTATTTTCCTTAAGAACAATCTACCCAAGACACTCTTAGACACTAAATTAATGTACACATTTTTTCAGTTTAATTTGAATCTTCACTTTATGGGAGACTAGCCTAGAGTGAACCCCCTAGTTACCATATATGAGGCTAAAGATGATGTAAAAAAAATTAAGGTGATTTCATTGATGCATGGGTGAAAAATGAAAATGAAGTGGATGTGGAGAAATAGTAGTAGGTAGTATTAAAAAAAGAAAGGGAATCAAACACACATTCCAAGAGGGGAAGAAGACAAGGAGATGGAAAGGGTGGGAAGAAAACAAGGAGAGTTGGAAATGGTCATTCTCGTGAATGAGACATTGTCGATTTTCTTGTTCATGACAAGGGAAGGAGCGGGAGTGGATAAGTGATGTAGTCCTTGCATTGCTACTCCATGTGTGATCACTGTCACCCACTTCTCTATGTTTTCACCTTCACTTCATTCTCTCTCTCCTTCTGTGTTTCTACACTTTTCCTTTTCCCCTTGTGTTCATAATGTGCCAATGATGGAAGTGGTCAAAATTTTCCACTCAAAAGAAACTAAATTGTATTATGCTTGTCTGTCACCACCACCTATTACTTTCTTTACCCCCCCATGTCTCTACGTCACAACAAAAAGCTACATGCAAAGAAACTGTAGAAGCTTCACCTCAGGTGAATCATGAATGTGCATGCACATACACTAAATTCAAAAAACAAAAAAAATTAAATTTTTATCTTTTGGATTAAATGTTTTCGGTATATCAACTTATGTCTATTTTCACTTTTAATGAATAATTTTATTTGATTTTAAATTCTTAAGATTTCCTTTTTTAACAAAAAATTCTTCACACCAAAGATCAAAATCTTAACCGAAGGAAAGGTTCAAGAACTAAGAGTAAAAATTGAAAAATGTTTAAAGACTAAAACTATAAAACAAAATGTTCAAAAACTAAAGGTGAAAATAGACAAACTTTTAAGGACAAAAACATATTTAATTCTTGTTTATTTTCTATTCTTTTTCACTCTTCTTTTACCCCTTCCTTAGTTTAATCTTGCCCGGTATTTTCAGAAATTTAATCTCATGGGAAACGTAGGCAGCATCATATCACATAATAGTTAATATTGGAGAGGAAATTTAAACCTTATTTTTAACATTTTTTTTTTGTTAAATATGTTTTCACACATTCTCATTTAGTCCCTCGGAAAAAAGAAACATTTTTTTATCTCTCATTAAGTGATATCTATTTCCATAAAAGAGGGATAAAAATTAAGAAATGATTTTTTTTTTGAAGGACGTGATTAACACGCATTTTAAAAACAAGAGTCTAAAATTTTTAAAGATTAATAGTGTGTTTGGATGAAAAATTTTATAAATTCAATAAATTTTAAATTATTGGCATTTGAATTACTTTGATTTTAATTTTTATCATTCTTAAAATATTTTATTTGGATAAGTCAATTTAAATTTCTTAAATTTTAAATTGTTATGTTGGGTATAATAATTCTACCATGGTAAAATTGATTTTAAAATTATATTTATATGCTAATATTTTTAAATTAAATTTTATAAAAATAAATACTAGGTAATTTTAAAAATTAATATTAAATAATATTTAATAATTTTAAAAATATTTTTAAAGAGATAAGATAAAATATATAAGTAAAATAAAAATATATGAGAATTTTTAAATTCTTACTTTTATTTTAGAGAATTTAAAATTTTACTATATATTTCAAAGAATTTCACAAATGCTGAATTTGAAATTCTTTATAAATTATTCATTCAAAGTATCTCATTTCAAAAAATTTAAAATTATTCAAATAAATAAATTATTTCATTTAAATTTCTTATTCGAACACATTATAAAATTGAAATTTTTGTATTCGTGAGCCTAGATATTTCGTTTCAGTCATGAAGAAGTCGTTGTACCCTGCATTGCTAATTAATTTGCCATATTTCGTGGTTGTCATCTCTTCCCATTTAATTTCTGTATTGTCTTGGCGAAAAAGACAGTTAATTCTGATTGAAAAGAAAACACTCAGATATTGTTTTACAGCTGTGTGGTTCATTCGTTCGTTCGTGGTTAACTGTTCAAATAGCCATGAGTAACTTTCTCGTTTAACTTTTTTTTTTTTTTTTCATCACAAATAACTAACTAATTAAACATTGATATCACATGACATCAATGCTCAAACTAATTAGTTACTGGAATGAAGAATACCGGGAGAACTTTAGGGGGGAGAAGATGCAAATTAAAACTAATGGTCCCATTTAATTTACCTTCAAAACAATAAGGTAAATTAAGTTTCTTTTTAAGTAGTAGTTTAGAACCTAACTCAATCTTATAAAATTAGTTTGTAAAATAAAATTGTACTCTATATACACTTTGTTAATCTTATCATTAGTCCGGTTGTTAACACACTCACATTAAAAGGTAAAATTTGTTTTATTAAACATCTACAAGTAGTCCAATAATAATTCGACAATGAATAGCCTAATAAGTCCAATAATACTCAATAATAACTAGAATAAACTCTAATATCATATTAAAAGTAATTTAAAATCTATCTTAATCTTACAAAACTAACTTATAAAATGAGGATTGTTACGATTAAAAACTTAGAATTTAAGTGAAGAAAAAAAAAATTGGTGCCATATAATTCTTCTAAACTTTTAATAACATGGTACATTTTTACTTAATATTATGTAATGCTAAGGAATAAACAGCATAGAACATATTTTCTAATTGATATACAAATCAGTATTTTTTGTTAAGATCCGATTGCAAGGAATGAGATCAACATGATACAAATCTAGTTTGTACTCTCAAATAAAAATAGTTAGTTTCTTGTGTTGTAATTCTCCCAAAGTTCTTATTATTTTTCTTGTGGTAGCTTGCAAATATGTCGATCCAAAGTTAATAGTTAGTTTCAATACTTGCTCATATTGAAACTTCCCATACGTAATTGATGGTGTCAACATGGTAACGGATATGACAACAAACCCTATTAGAGCAACCCCTAACCTTATCCACGGATTACATGATAAAATCGAGAATCTATTTCTATATTAAACAACGCATGTGACAACATCTGGATTGCTTAAAAAAAATCATTTATATATTAATGTATTGCGCTGTTATACTTATGGGATCATGTGAACATGATTTTTAAAATAGTTGGCAAATGGCTGAAGATTTTGGCATTTTGATGACAGTTTCTCAGAAGCCAACTATGATTTTTCAGCAAAGTTTTGTCAGTGGACATAATTAATAATTAACTAATGGTGGAATCACAAAAGATCGAGATTTAGTGGCCACGTGCTTGGTGTTCCTAATTGGAGATGTATGATAGGGTGGTTAGGGTTATTGTAAGTTGCAGAATAAGAGCATTCCCAGCATGTTTGGGGATATTAGTGTCCACAAAAAGTATGGAGAACATGTGACCCTTGAAATGTCAATTTGCAATAATTTTGTAATTATTGGTTTGCTTAATTGTATTTTTAGTAACTATTTTCTATTAATATATGATGTGATCGATATGATATTGCTCGAATTGAAAACTATGAATCTATTATTATTATAATGTGGATTCTGGGTCAACGGCTAGTTTAATAATAAGACCCTTTTGCCTTTGACATGCTGAAATTATACTAGGTTTTGAAGGAAGCTTTTCAAGGCCAAATTATCCACGAAAACGTAAGTTTTCATTTAAAGATTGGTGCTGTGCATGTGATGCCACTTTCTGATGAGCTAACTTGATTAATACTGTTCAATTTTCAAACATGAAACTATGCAAAGAAATGAAATTATGAAACCGTGATATTTTAAGGAACACATGGTGAGATTTTTTTTTTCCTCAAACAATTTACTTTGTTGTAATTATTCAATTAACTTCTGTATATGCGAGGAGTTTCTTGATACCCACCAAGGGAGGTGAAGTTGCCTCCATGGAAAAGGTGAGAATTTTCCTACAAACTCGTGACTATTTGTGCCAACTTACTTCTTTTATAAAAATAGTTCAATTTTTATAATTCAGTTCAGTTTTTATAGTTCAGTACAGTTCAACTTTACAACAGTTCAATTCAGTTCAGTTTTTTTTTAAACAATTCAGTTCAATTTTTTTACAAACAGTTCAGTTTTTTATAGTACAGTTCACCACCAGTTCAGTTCAGTTCAGTTCAGTTTAGATTTTTTTACTCACCCCTACTTACTTCCATTGGCTAAGTTGGCATGTTCGTAACACTTAAACCAATTATGATATTATATCAAACTAGTACGTACACTTGGTTAAATTTCGTACTATACTTTCCTCTACTTCATAAAATATGTTATGTACTTTTGTTTTAAATTTTAAAAATAAAATTATTTTTAATTAATATATATTCTTTTTATAACTTAAATATTTTTATTGTTTACTTTTATATATTTTTCATATCTTAATTTTATTTTAATATAGGTCACAAGTATCTTTAACTAAAGAAAATTCTATTTAAATTAGATAAGATCATTATTATAAACGACAAAGTTTTTCTTTTAAATATTCAACACAAGTGTATATTAAGGAGTCAGGACTCAAATTTTGGGTATTTAACATAAGTTTATATTCATGACTTGAATTCTAAACCACTAGTTAAGATGAAGCATCTTTGTACTAGTTGATCAACACATTCATCAATATTTAATCTTGATTATTTAACAATGTTACATATACAAGATAGAATCAGAGTATTCTAAAAACTTTAAATTATGTTCATATGCCATTTATAAATGTAAATATTTTAATTTATTTTTTTCAAATTTATTTGAATTTTAAAGTATCTATATAAATTTATTTGATTATTCTTTTTCAAACTATCTATCCATTAAGATAATACA